CCTGAGATAACGTCTGTTGTGAATTGGCTCTATACAAATAAAATGGAATTGAATTGAATTGAAAAGCACACTGCCGTGCTGTTTTTTGCTGACACAAGAACAGACATGTTGCTGTATTTTGGACCATTTGAGGAAGTTTAACTGTGCAGGCTGGCAGCCCTGCCATAAGGGCATTAAAATAGTTAAGCCCTCAGATGACCAGTTCCTGTAAAGGAAGCTGAGTGGCATACAATCAGATATGACTTGATCTTTTTGCTATTATATGGTGCAAATGCTGTTCTATAAGCTTGGTAATGTAGGGACCACTTACAGGACCATCTAGCAGACTACTGTAGCTGGTGAGCTAACTGCTATCACACTATTTATCTCTCAAAGGTCAGCACTGTCAAGATGACTTGCTATTGGTCAATGCCAGAAATTCAAGCGTCAAAGTTCACAATTCATCAGTTATAATGTCATAATAACTTCAGGGTCATCTGGTGGGAAGGATAGGTAAATCTGGGCATCATCAGCATAGTAACTGTAGCAAAAAACATGTGAGCAGATAATCACACAAGAAAGGGGGGTCCAAGCATTGATCCTTGAGGTACCCCTTGTTTGTTGTAGTGAGGCAATAATAGCTATAGAACCAAAACATTAGGTTGAGACTTATTTTATTACATGCACCTGCAGAGAAGATCATAGCATCAACAGTTATAAAGATACTACAGAAGCTTTCAACAGCCTCAAACAGTCAACAATCATTTATAAAGGCACACACAGCAATTGAAAGTTACTGCACTATACAACTGACCCAGTACGTAAAAATACAACAATTACAGCTGCACTTACTACTGCAATTACAGCACAAAAATATTACTACATGACATCTATTGTATTTCTCATTTCAGAGAGCGAAATACTGCGCTACTGGCTCCAATGTGGCAATTCAGTCATTAAACATCATACCATAAACACCTGTGTTCATGCAGAATGATTTATGCAACTCAGCCTGAGTGAAAAAAATGAATAAATACCTGAGTAAAGCAACACTGAAATGAAATAAGAAAGTGGGAAATCATTACTGAAAGATGCCTTTATAGGCCACACACAGATTCAAGAAAAAGAAACAGTCATCACCCACACTGAATAAACTGCAGCAAACAGTTCTACATTTTCTGCTGACTTTAAATCTTGGTTAGGCACTTGCGGTAAATGAGCTGAGAGCATGAAAGAACTAGCAGGGTTCTTTTCTCTTTGATTCCCATAGAAGGACTTTAAATCGCTGCCCATGTTCCTCAGGATTGGGTTGCACCAACTGTGAGTAAATCAATTTCTAAGTTTGTGTGTACGGTCCTGTTTAAGTTCTCATTCATTTATAATATTTATTAAATTGGCTCTGTCACGTGATGCACCCACGATGGTGGCCCCAAAAGACTTTTCCCCATAAGCTTACATTATGAAAGACATGGCTGTAAATTGGTGGATATATTTCTTTGAATGCTGCCCAAACCCATCCAAATCAAATCAGAATTTGATCCATTTAGTCCAGCAACATTTGGAAAGTCTAGAAATGTTGCATAATTAAGTCATCTTATCCCCATTCAAGTTAGCGGAGTCTGTCTGTGCAAAATTTTGCGCCGATCTATCAAATAGGCACAAAATTAAACTGATATTTCATTCAAGACCAAAGTGGTGGAGCCATCCTCAAAAGTAACAGCTTTATATGGTCATATTAAACTGCCAATCCTGTAGTATGTAAATGTAGATATGACTTTATATATGAGTACATGGAGAAATATTTGTGTATTAATACAATTTAGAAATGTATTTAGAGTGAGAAACATCTGACTAGATTACTGATATTATTACTACCTCTAACCCTAAACTTAGTCTTAAGAGTTACAGGGTGTAAGTATTAGTAACAACTATAGTAATTTCTATGTATGGTGCAACCCATTACACCTAACTTACAACTAGGCTCATTTTGATTTTTTTCAAACAGATGGTGCAACCGACTCCAGGTCTGTTACTCTCTCTGAATCAAAAAACGAATGCATGAGCAAAACCTCTACTCTAGAACTGGTAGCCGATACTCAGATAAGTGAAAAAATATAAACTGCATGTATCAATAAATAATAAACAGTAAATAACATGCTAGTGGGATACACATTCATAGATTCCCACCAAAGCCACATATTTTTTTTAACCAAAACCTAACATGTATTTTGTATTTTCTTTAGCTTTTTGCATATTTTTCTGTCTCTGCTATAATCAAACAGCAATAATGGCAAATATTACTAACACTGTAATGATAACATGCATTAGAAAAGACAGGCAGTACTGCTAGCAAGTACCCAGATGTTGTCATGTAACATTTTTCCACAATACAATCAATTTAGGAAATGCTGTTAAGACATAAAAACAGTATGTGTCAACCGGTGTAATCGTTTTCTCTTACAAGTGTTTTGCAGCATTGTCCCCATAACATCAATATGATGACAATAAAATCATTTCTCAGATGTTGATGGTCAGTGATCCAGCATGCTACTTATTTAACAATGACGTTCTTCTCCATGAAAATCAAATTTGTGGCATAACTCAGATTAGATCCCTTGCTAACAGGGGTCCAGCTACAGTATATGGCACCAGCGAGGTAATAGCTTGCACATAGTGCCTCTGAAGAGCCTTTGATATGTTTGGAGGAACAGCACACAAACAGAAGAGAAATACACATTGTTCACAATTGAAACGGCCATATCAGACTCCAGAGGACATACTGCTGAACAGAGAATAGTACAGCCTCAGTTAGCATAGTATCATATGGAATTGAATACTTTCAGTGGTCTCTGTTTTCAGTCTTGGTCTAGCAGGCCTCAGACACTGTTAGGGTTGTAACAGAGCATGTTTAGTTGCAGGTTTTCATCCCAGTGTCTGAGGATGATGAAGAGCTGGTTGGCAGCAGCCTTAATGGAGGCTAAGTCTCGACCTTCTGGGATGTCCTGCGCACTCAACCACATGCTGGCCTTGGCGGCTACCATTTCCCACTCTATGAAATAACTGGCAGAGCTGTGCTCCAGCCAGGCGAGGGCCACAGCCGTGGCCCAAATCATACTCTCTGGGTCCAGCATCCTCTTTAGCGCCCCGCCGAGCGATGCTGTTTCTAAGCCCCCTGACCCAGAGCCCCGTCCACTGTCCACCTGGGAGTACGGGGAGAGCTGGGGCTCAGCAGCGGCGGTTGGACTGCCTAATAAAGAAGGACCAGCATCCACCATCCAGGTGCTCCTGGACAGATGAGAATGGCTGTCTGCAGGTTGCTGATATGTGTCTGGCTCACACAGTGATCTGTGTCCGTCATCGCCACTCTCAGCACGACGGCTGCTGGAATGAGACAGGTGGCCCAGGCTGGTGCGGTGGCTGTTGAAGGGGGACGTCCACTTCAGCTTGTCCATGGGCACGTTAATGGCATCACACAGAGCCGCGTCCAGGGGAAATGCACCACTAGCCAACTGCAACAACACCTGCGCCAGAGGAAATATTGTTGAGTTTGATATAAAGTACAGCTTATGTTATTGATCCAAACTTTAATCAGTGGTGTAGTGGTACTTGTAGTTTTGTTATGCATGACAAACATTTAAATAAGAGGTGAGGGAGCACCTGATGAACTGATTTGAGTGCATGCTGTTATTCTGCTCTGCACTGCATATTGTAACGAGAGTCTTCTATGGTTCATTACTTCCTCCTAATTCATTACTACCTCCTCCAATCAGCAGTTGGGCGTGAGATGCCTTGCAATAGGATACCTCTGTGGTCATTAAAGGAAAGGAAAATCTTTTTCGGAGAAACTATTCTGATCATTTTTGACAGATGTATTCTTTCGACTAAATTTAAAAAGTGATGAATAATAGGTGAATGAGGTGGAATGCACAGCATAATTAGAGTAATTACATTAGGTCTGGACACTACTTTAGACCCACAAGCAAAGGTTTGAATTACAGAGGATTATTCTATCACCAGCAATTTCTTTTCCAAGGCAGAAAAATGAAGACATTGCTCAGAACTTGCTTTTACACCAGTTCACTTGTTTTTCACTTTACTTGACTTGAGATTATACAGCTCCTTCCACACTCAGTTAAGAATAAAATTAATAACGAAAGAAATACTGAATCTTGTGGTATATATTGTTTAAAATGCAAGCAAAATATTATTTATATAACCATGTGCTATAACGTGTAATTAGGGTTAGTTAATTTACTAACACAACATTTTATTTTTCAAACTGAGCATATATACTGTATATGATATATATATATATATATATATATATATATAATATAGATTATATCGCAGGTATCTGCAACTGACCTCCTCTTTTTATCCATCCTCCCTATATGTTTTAATGTTTATTGTTTTCTTTCAGAGAGACAGGACGAATTTGCACAGAAAGGGGTATAATATGCAAACAAAGATTTCATTTGAATATAGGATACAGCATGCTTACCTGCTGCACACCATATCCCTCCAGACTATTAAAAACAGCATAGAACTGCTATTGCTAATGTGACACATTTGTCTCTTTTGACAAATCTACAGTCCAAGTTCAAATAAATGTCAATCAAAAACCACGCAGGTTGACAGAACATTCACATGTATAGATTTGCTACCCACCAGAGGAATGTAGTCTTTGTTCTCGTTGTCACTCTCTCCAATTGAATCACCGGACTTGCTGTGAGATCGACACATGAATCCTTTAGCAGCTCGAGTCAGGAGACGAGTCCTACTGAGGGCCAGCCTTACAGAGGAGAGGGAGAAGCAGATGTAAATTACAGTGTGCAGTATGCAAGGCAGACACCACAATTTGATTTTATGTACTGCTTCTGTATAGAATAGGGAGAGCATTGCGTTTCTTTTGATTATTCTGGTACATCTGTAGATTTCCCTAAAGCCAATCAATTATGGTCAATGAGGATTTTAAGCCATGCTAGCAGCATGGTTCTAGGAATAACAACAGACAACAGAAACAATAGGAATTGAATTATGATATATTTCATTGTATATAAAAATTCTGCTGGATGCAGGATTTCAATTGTTATTTTAATGTTTAATATTATATATAATATTTATGTGCTGTACAATTCACCATTTAGCTATAACATTATGGCCACGTGGGCACCCTGGTGGTCAGAATGTTCTTCAGCCGCATATGCAGCAAACTGGATCAGACCACACAGGTCAGCCTTTACTCTCCATGTGCATCAGTGAGCCTTGGCCACCCATGTTCCTGTCTCCGGATCACTGCTTTTCCTTCCTTGGAGCACTTTTGATAGGTACTGACCTCTGCAGTCCGGGAACACGTCACAAGAGCTGCAGTTTTGGAGATGCTCTGACCCAGTCGTCTAGCCATCACAATTTGGCTCTTGTTAAGGTTGCTCAAATCCTCAAGCTAACCATTTTTCCTGCTTCTAACACACCAACTTTGAGGGTTAAAATGTTCACTTGCTGCTTAATATATCCCCCCCACTGACAGGTGCTATGATAATGAGATAATCCTTGTTATTCACTTCACCAGTCAGTGGTCATAATGTTATGGCTGATGGGTGTATATTGGAATAATTGCAGATTTTAAGTCTTCTACTTGTTCACACTCTAACGCAGCAGTTGGCCAGCTGTGGTTTGAACTTCAATCTCCAGCTCTCTTTTTTCTCCCTTTACACAACTATTTTATGCAATTTTTGTCTACCGCTGAGTGCAACACCATAAATGCCTTCCAGGAGAAACTGTCTGAAAATTATGTGTAATATTATAGTCATACATTATGGCATCTTGCCCCTTTCATTGAAGGCTGGCGTTTCACTCAGCCTTTGCCTTCTAAGTACAGCCTCACAGAGCGGCCAGCATGGCTATAGACTCTTAGTCTTGTTTTTAAAAGGAGAACAAATTGTCATTACATTATTAAATTGTCACAACTGATTATGGAATAGTCCTGTATTGTCTTGATACAATAACCTCGAGACAGCAGGCTCTAAAAGGCAAAATCAGCTGACAGAATGGATAAAGATGAAGATGTTAGGAAGATGATCTGCCTTGTAAGACAGCAGTTAAAAATAATTACACGTCCCTATGTTTGCTCAGGCTGTAGTGCCACAGCTACAGGACATTTATGTAGCCAGCCTGTCTCCACACACCCACCTGGCAGAAAAAAGGCTCTCCACCGACTTCTGTGATTGGTCAGAGGTCACAGACGGGCTCCTTTGGGAGACTTGGAGACAGAGAGGCAGAAACAAAGGCAGAGTCACACGAGGCAAACAGAGAGAGAAAGAAGCAGTGGCATTTTCTGTCACTTTTCTATTTAGTTCTCAACGTGGGTCTCACATAAGAAAGAGGTAAAACACACCCACTGAGATGTAACAGTAACAGCACAGGACATATATTCCCGCAGCTGTCTCTCCTCCGCAGGTGGAACACTTCCTGTGTGTGTGTTTGTGCCTTCAGTAGGGGCTCATTGTGTTTTTGAAAAGGTTCAGACAGCGTTTGTCAATACAAGCCACAAAATTGTGTCCACTTCTGTCTTCACTTACGAGAAGAGGAACTAAAATGTCAATAATCTCATGTTTCACATTTGGAACAATACAATGGTGTTGCTCAGAAAATGACAAGAGACTATCAGACAGTTTATGTCAAAGGTCTTTGTGAGGGGAAAATGGATGAGATACAGCAAATTCACTGACCGGCTGCTGTTACTTACCCTCCGTAAAGCTACATCTCTCCCAGCCGGAGGAGGAGGGGGTGCTGCATGGAGAGACGCCATCCTCTCCATCTAAGACAATAATCAAACACATTAAAAAATAATAACTGTCAGCTCTCCTTTGTTTTGTTTTCATTTGTTTTTTTTGTTTTTTTTACATTTTTCTCAAACCCTAAGTAGACATTGTTTTATAAAAGACAGCATTACCAGGCAACACTGATGCAACTCATCTCCATCTGTTCCCACTGGGCACCTCTTTTTTTAACTGGTAGTGCCGAGCAGATGTTCAAGCAGTGTGCTAGTCTTAGGTCCTGCTGTTGCTATGCCACCACTGCAAACCAATTTAAAATGTTGTGCCCTTTTACTGAAGTTGAAGTATTTTTAATGTAAAGCAGCTTGCGGCTTTCTGAGTGCTCAATATTTCACACAATAGCTCCTGGTGCTGGAGATGCACGACTGCAACCTTTTCATTTCCAATAAAAACAGAGAGTTGAATAAATATAAATATATAAACATAAATCTTGAAAAATCTCATATTACTTTCTCCCCAAAGAATGATACTCCTTATACTGTATACTCACAACTTTCATTCTCAAGAAAAGATGCCTTCAGTCTTTCTCTGTAACCCATATCTTATTTCTTTCTGCCGTATTTCTTGTATGGTCAGCGATCGAGAAATTAAAGCTCCTTCTGCTGTGTATTGAGTAGGGATTGAAATGTGAGTTAAATATATCAAATGCAGCCTACTGTCTTCAGCTTCCTCAGACATGCCGCCAGACTGAGAGCGACCCAGTCCGATGGAGTACCCTCTGTTCTTCCTGCTCCCTGAACGAGACCTGGAATGTGAGCCCCTCTTCAGACCTTCACCTGAAAACAAAGTTATTGTTTTTTTTAAAATAGGCATGCAGTTTTCTAGCTGGCTTGTAACTGTAAGGATCCAGGCTTGTTTTACTCAAAATCAGTTTTGTCTCAGTACGTGGACACAGGTGAGTGTTGCGGAGCTAAGAGCCGTAAGAGCACACAAGAGTGACTGTGCCAGTTATAGTCCAGCACATAGCCCCCTTATTTTAACTTACACAAAGGGCTGCAGTTAATGTCTATTTTCACTGTTGATTAATATTTAATATTTTCTCAGTTAAATAATAGTTTGGACACTTCAAAACACAAAACTAAATCTTCACATTTAATAAACTTTCAGCCAGAGGATATTTTCCATTTAATCAATTAAATATTTAATACTAATATTTTTTTTTTCTTTACCTTTGTACAGACTCAGCTGTTTCCCCCTGTTATAGTCCGTTTGCTAAGCTAAGCTACTGTAACTGTCTGTTTGCTGTAGTTTTAGATTGAATGAACAGACATAAGAGTATCAATCTTCTCTTCTAAGAAGGCCAATAAGCATATTTTCCAAAATGTAAAGTTATTTCTTTAATGAGAGAATAATTTTTGCGAAACAATGGCACATATAAGGTAACATGATAGATCCCACTCTCTGGCTGATAACTACTAAACTACAGACAAAAGGACTAAAAAAGGTTGTTCCAGATTATGTTTGAGAACAATATTCTGTTCAAACATGTGGAGAGGAGTAAACAATGGCTGGCATAAGGCCTTCTTTAAATCCATATGACTTACTAGGGTTTATGTATTCAATACATGTTGGCAAATATTCATTAGTGTCCAGGTCGATGGGGACAAATGCTGTGTATTTGCTCAGTATATTGCAGGCCTTGCTGGTGTGAATAGCGTATAGCTGGTACTTCCTCCCAGAGCCTGTGAATTATAATAAGCAAAAAAAAAGATTACGTAACAGGGTTGCATAATATTAATTTTTTTGTTATTACATGATATTGAATAATATTATTCCAAACGTACATGAGTCATACGTGAATCAATGCAACTTAAAGGAATATCTACAGCCAGCAGCAAAGGAGGAAAAAGTCAGCCTGGCTCTGTCCAAAGGCAGAAAATCTCTTTGTTTAATCTGGAGGATTTTGTTACCTTTAGAAAGAGCCATCCTAGCTGTTTCCCTCCCCCAATTTTCTTTATGCTAAGCTAAATTGACTGTCTCTTGGCTTTAACTTCATTTGAATAGCTCAAATTCCCTCCATTCCTTTAAAGTTGTATCTCAAAACACTTATATTACATGCAGTAAGCTGCTCAGAGATATAACAGCAGGATGTCAAACTGAAATTGTTTTGTCTTTACAGGCTTTAAATCCTCAAAATTTACTAAGCATCCCCAAATCGTCCTATAAACACTTATATACTTATATATAAACCCATACAGCTCACCGTTTTCAATCTCACACTCCTTAAGCGCCATGTGCTCAAAGTCGTGTATGATGGAGCGTCCAGCCATATGGTGGAAGGTCTCATTCCACAGCTCCTCGTGAACCTTTTCCTCTCGTTCCCGGCCATTCAGGAAGGGCTCGACATCAAAGACGACCTCCCACTTCGCTGGTTTCCCACACAGCAGTCCGGACACCACAGCCTTGCAGTCACCTTTTTGCTGGTTGGCTGTACTCAGATCTGACGTTTGGGTCTCCTGTGGGGTTTCTGCTTGACATAACTGGTGTCCGTAACCATCTGAAATATATCAAGAGCACGATTTGATTCCTGAATGTGCATTTTAATTATTTACTCAACTTGTATTTAAATCCAAATGCTTGTCACAGATGTTGACAGGATTTGTGTTCAATTAATCCCTCACCTATGTTTCCAAAGCTCTCTGTGTTCAGCCTGCTTGAATGGACCTCAAATAATTGTTTTCTAAAGTGCCGCCTTATGTGTTCCTTATTCATCTCCTGATTAATTTTCTGTTTCGTTCCCAAATTTAGAAAAACATTTCCTGTCCTCCTTGAGAGTCAGCTCTGTGCTCAATCATCTGCCACGACTAAAGGATGGATGTCATTTATTTTTTTTTAAGATACTTCACATTCGTCACATCAGACTGAATAAATCCACTGCGGTTTGAATTCAAGGGCTCTTAATTTTATTGCTTCAATTACTTTATAGTTACTACCAGAGCAGATTTGGTTTAAACTTTGGGATTTTATGTTCTCTCATCGTGTTTAATTAATTATAACTGATACCCCTTAGCTTAGCATAAAGACTGAAAACATAGAAAAAACAGCTGGTATGGCTGTGTCACACTAGCACCTCTTTAGCCCACTAAATAACACATCATATCTTGTTTGTTTAACTCTAAAAAGTTTCGGGGCCTTATGTGTCAGACTCCAGATCTCCTGACCAGGATGTCAGTGGCTTTGTGGAGTCTCAGCTGGTCGTCTTACAACCTCACAGTGATGGCAAGATCGATACCACTCTCATATCTATCCAATCCATATAAAGCTGGAGCCAGAAGAAGCTAAGCTCAGCATATAAACTGGAAGCAGAGGCCAACAGCTAACCGACTAGGTCAAAACCTAGTATACAGTACGACTGGACCGTGTATGGTCAATATACTCCTGGGGACATAAATGAGGACTGTTTGACATTTTCATATTGAAAGAGCAATGGTCAAATGAGAAACTTACAGACTTTCACATTTATAGGACTGGCCTGGCTTTGCTGCAGTCCGAACAGCACTTTAAAAGCTTATTAATTAACATGTTATATCTAATTTGTTCCATCCATACCAACTCCAGGAGGTCA